TAAAATAGCTATTAAATGCAATTTGGCAGGTCAAAAGCGCTTTTCAAGGCACCCAAAGCGCATAACAATGCCACTATTCAGTCACTCTCACATTCACACACTGGTGGAGGCAGCTACAGGTGTAGCCACAGCTGGGGCAGACTGACAGAAGCGAGGCTGCCATATCGCGCCATCGGCCCCTCTGAAGTGTATTGCCCAAGGACACAACAACCAAGACAGACAGAGCTGGGGATCGAATCGGCAACCTTCTGGTCACAAGCTAAGCTCCCAACCCCCTGAACCATGATCACCCAAGATTTATATAAATCTTAACTAATACTAGTGTGTTTAAGTTTCAGCATAATTCAGTTTGCCCATTTGTGCCCATCACTGGTTATTTTTTGGGTTACCATTAAGCAGTTATTTGTTCTTTTTAATTTTTGTAAGGCTTTTTGGACAGTATGGCTGCAGTATTGTAGATAAAATTAGTAACTCTTATATGATTAGACTAATGTTAATGAAGCTTATTACCTGTAGTCATTAGTTTAGCTGTACAGTCATGTGGCTTGCATATCAATTACTGGTCCGTGCCACCTGTGGTTAATAGTGCTATTAGTTTTCGTGTAGTGTTCATTGCTCTTTCATCTTCTTGTCTCTTCCTTAGGTTGACAGCCTATAAGCGAACACTATAACAGTATGAACCGGAGAGATCAGGTTTATATACAGTGACAGATTTTTTTTTTCATGCACACATGAAAAAAAGGTTGTTTAAACTCAGCAGTAATTTCCCTGATGGTCCGGTGCAGTGGAGTGAAAAGGGACAGATGTGGCCTGATGTTTCACAGGGAGACTGACAGCAACGTGTAGGAAGCAAAGAAGCATGATGAAGAGGGAAGGGCAGCATGTTGACATCATGGAATGTGTGTATGTGTGTGACTAGGCTGAGCATGAGATACTAGCAGTCTGAATGTGTTGATGCATGTATGCTTACGCTCTGGCCTACTTTCTCACTGATGATGCTGCAGAAAAGAGAGCAGCAGGAGGAGAGGGAGTATCCCACAATGCCACGCTGCTCACCCCATGAGCCATGTGGATGGATAAAGGACGGATGGATGGATAGATGTCGGAGTCAGCCAAGATCTGCACACACTGAACGTGTTTACTGTCACCGCCCTCACATTAGCTCGCGCTTTTGCAGTTTTTAAACCTGTGTCATATCGCAAACAATAAAACACATAACTTCCGTGTGAGTATTTCGAAATAAATGTTTTGTTTTTTAAATTAATTGGGTAGTTGTGGCTATGAGGGACCTCGTGGAAGCCATTTAATATCAAATATGTACTTAACGTTTCAATGGATTTGATGTTAAAGAAGAAAATGTAAATAAATCACTAATATTAGTTATAAAATAGTAGTTTAAAAGATTTTGAGCTTTAAAAACAACTATGTCATCTAAAATTTTAAATCTGCCTTTAACTTGTGGTAAAAAATGCA